TGCGTCACTTTAAATGGTTATGTCTGCTTTATAGTCCATCGTGTTATTCACCAAATAATTTTTGTGTAGTACTGACTTTTAAAAATTGGTTAAAATGCTTCAAACGACAGAGGAAGTTATATGCAGAGCATCTTGGAGAAGGCGAGCATCTGAAGAAAGTAGCTCAAGGCAGATTCAGTTTTGCTGACATTTACGGGCTGACAGATGTTTCGCCTTTGTTGTGTTATAAACGATTAAACTGTTGTATTTCACTTTGTTCAATTGCATCAATCAAATATGATACAAACCAGATGACTGTCCAAATCCTCTTTTCAAGAGCGCTATTAAAAATTTTTATCGTTACCTGTGATTGCCATCAGATTTGTTTAGCAAAACGACCAGTGTCGTTGATTATAACCGTAGAATTTATTATACCAAAGATTTCGAATAAAAAAAAAACAGTGGGTACAAATGCTCAATGGTTGATACAAAACAGACAAATTGAAAAAATCTGATACGTATTACGACAGTTGGTGAACGCCAAAGTTTCTGAAGAATTGAAAATGAAAGTGCAGAAAGAATAAATTTAGAAAAAAAAGGAGCAAAACGAAAAAAAAGAAATGTGCAAATCAACCTTCGAACACTTATTTTGAACAAAGCCACAAAAACTTTGTTACTTTTATATGTCATTTTCTGTCGCTGCAAATATGAATTAAATATTATCTGTTAAAAGCTTCTTAAAAATGTTTTGAATAATTAAAACTACAAAAAAAAGTTAGTTGACCAAAAAAATTGTGCCCATTCTAAAAGTTTCGAACTTCTTGTCATCATTAGTTGTCGTTGTTATTTTTGTTACTACTGCTTCCGGTATCGACTGTGATGATACTATTGGTGTGCAGCACGACGTCTGCAGTAGCCTGCGTTAGAGACGCTGCTGGGTGTCACCGCCAACACCGTATCGTCATCCATGGTTTAATCGGTAGACTAACCAAACTACAATCGTGGACCATTCTAAAGGTTAAAATAATAATTTTTAAAAAAAAAAATTTCTTTTTACGTACTGGAAAGTAAAAAAATATATATGACAAAGAAATAAAACTTGATTCAATTTATCAATTTTCAAGCTTTGAAAAATACAGTAAAACCTTGAAAATTTTTTTCGCAACAGTTACCCAACTTTTCAAGCAGAAAAAAAAATGATACATAAAAATGTCGTTTAAAATTTGACAAATCTGCACTGTTACCTTATCCACCATTTTAGTTACCGTCCTATTATTACATATCACCATTGACGTCATCTTCTTTTTGAATACTTCGGCTTACTTAGTAACCAAACAGTGACGTACTTGTTGCTCTTTCGGTCGCTCAACATACAGAGGGACCTAGACATAAGCGATTAGAACTGTTCAGGTACTTAAGCTCATACTAAAATATTGGACAGACAAGCAGCACTCCGGAAGCGAGTCAGTTGATCAATCAGGTTTACTGACAGTTGTCAAGATGACTGCAAATGTAACCATCGGTGCACTTCTTTCAAGTTCACTTCTTCCAGTCTGTGGTACAATTCCAGTTACTTCTTTTCCCATTTCGCCGTTCTGCATTGTTCCGGTTGATGTTGTCATTGTAAATTAGTGCAACAGAAAGCTCCTACAAAACCACCCGAACTGATTGTATCAAAGTAGTGAGCCTAAAAAATTTTCCCAATGACGACTTTATACTACTCTTTGAGACTACTCGACAGTACTACATCAAACAAATATAAATTGCTTTGTTTTTGTTTTCAAATTTAAAAACTCTTCATGAATTTTAACCTGATAATACACAAGCTTATAGGCGTTATTGGCGCTGCTTAAATAGAGAGGGAGGGAAAGAAGAAAAAAATCAACGGGCTGATAAACGGCTCAAATGAGTGTCATTTCGCATCCTTTTTTTTCTTCACTAACAACTAACAAATATTTGAATAGAAGTGCTTTCAATGCGCCATTCAGTACTGTTTTTATTTAGCAAATAATAAGTAGTAAGAAAACAAAGTGAATAAATAGATAAATAAATTTTTTATAGCATTATTGGTTGGCAACAAAACACCGTTTCTTCATTTTTCTTGATCAATTGAAATAACTGTGTAACATACGAAACGAACTCCTCTAACGGCATTGAAAAGTTCAAAAATAAAAATGCCGCAGCAACATATCTGAATGAAAGAAAAATCTGTTAATGACCGCCAAAAGCTTCAATTCTGTCTTCTACAGTTTCAAAAAAGGCCAAATAGCTCAAAAGAGAAAAATTAACTGCCAAAGAACCAGATTCAAACAAGTTTCTTTCTCCTTCTAAAAAAGAAGCTTGCAAAACTACTGGCCCCAACAGTGCCGAAAGTGCTTGACAACCGTAAAGTCGGCATTGAAGTGACCACCGTCATTCAATCCACAAAACAACGGTCACAAACACTTTCATCATTTTCTGCCGATATCTAAATTGATCACTGCGTAAATGACACGTTAAAAATAAAAAAAAAAAAAATTGGAGATCATTTGAGCAAGGAAAAATGGCTCTTTCATTTAAAAAATTTTTAGATAAAAATGATATTAAGCAACAGAAGAATCGTCACCACTATTAGCAGTTCTCTAACTGACAATCACTTAATGTTTTTATTGCTAACTCCTAATTTTAATGACGTTAAACCCAATGATCAAATCTTTTGACAGCGCTGCATGGCTTCGTAAAGAAGTTGCGAAGAAATTTACGAATACAACATATTTTCATATTTCCATCGCTTTATTCTGAAACATTTTCAACACCTTTCAAAAAAACAGCTGAAATCTATAACTTCCACTTTTTTCATTTTCTTCACTAAAGTCAAGACGAGTACTATAAGCCATCTGGATCAAAAATAAACACGAGCTTTTTTAACCAAACAAAAAAAAGTGTTACTCGTTCTATAAACAGTTTACAAGTCTTTTTCTTTTCTGCGTCATAACCAAAGAATCTCCAGCTTCAAGTCATGATGCAGTATTGTCTACGGACTTCCAAAACAAAGGAAGCAACAATGTAAAGGAGGCGCTGGGATTCCTTTGCAGCAACAACTATCAGTGTTTCGCAGCCATTTCCTGACTGCCCCTCACTCGCAACACAGCTAACAGTTGTACAGCTCAAATTTGAGAACTTCCTCAAAAAAAACTGAACAAGTTTTTCTAGCAATTATCCAGAAGCCAGTCGTGATTTCCACCTTAGAAATACAAAATGTGCAACTTGATAAACGCAAATTATAGAAGATACGAGACCGCTTTGTTGAACTTGGTAAAAAAACTATCTAGCATACTTGCGGTAGAGAACGACAGCACACTAAACGGTTGAATAATTGAATAAACAAAAGTGGAACCTGAAACTAAGACAAAAAACAGTTAAGTCCCATATATTTACTTTACTGCTATTTTCTTAACTGGTTTCTTTGCTCGCACTGAACTTAAAGTTTTATTATAACAAAAATTTGTTCACTGGCGTAATCA